AGTTAATTCAACATGACAACACATTTTAAAGAATTTTGTGGCATCATTTTACCTAAATTGTGCGTTTAAAGTGGCTGACAATAATTTTGGCTAATTTTGGTTTTCGTTGTTTTCTTTGCTTTGTTTACTTTTCGCTCGTTTTCCAGTGAAACAAGATTGCGTAGAACCCGCTAAAAAAATCGACTTTTTTCACTCTCTTGTTCTTACGTGATCTTGTGTCTTTCGTTCATGAGAGTCGCTATTTTCATCACCAGCAAACCCAACCTCACTGGAAGTACAGTCAACTAAAATTTTGTCCAAATCTTGGCCTCTAAGTGACCTGATAAGCTTTGTTCCCTATCTCTCTTGAACCTCTTGCCTCTTGCAAGGATGGAGTTCACTAGCGAGTCAAAATCCTCGGCCGACGACGCCCTCGACATTGATGTCGAAGACGCCATGCCGGCTTTGGGTTTTCTTGCTGCCGTAGGCGACAGCCTACCCAAAAAATTTACCGATCTACCACTCACAAAAAGTCAATTTTTCCACTAGCAAAAGAAGCAGAATCACTCACCTGGGTTTATCCTTGTAAAGTGGTGACTTTACTTCGAACTTCAAAATTAAATTATGCTGTACGCCACTTTAGGTGTCGAAACCTTCAAAAGTAGCTTCACCTTGCTTAAAAAATCACACTTTGTGTAGCAAATAACTTCACTTGCACAGACAAGCAAAATTAAATAATTAAAATAAAACCACTTGATTGAAAAACTTGTAAGTTATGCGCCAAAAGAAAGTACAATTAGGCCACTTGCGCTTAGCACCTCCACTCACACTCGAAGTCGCAAAAGGAATGTATTTACAAACTTTAACTTCATATGCTGCTATAGTTTGGTGGCAAATATTTCTTTGTTTTGTTTCGATTTCACACATTCCTAGGCAAACAGCTGATTTCGAAAGATGTTTTCTCTCTTCCTCTTCTTCTTTCGTTTCGATCGTAACGCAGAATACCTAAGTTCGATTCCAGCGGAGCGGAATGCGGGAACGTAATCGAAATGCAGAATAGGGCTGAATGAAAGCGTTAGCCATGACAATCCTGTTCATACCATGGACTCGGATTCTGTCACCATGGCAAGGCCATCCCTGATGCGGTTGACCTATAAAAAGCCCTCGGTCGAATTTCGCAACGCAACGAACCTCTTTAACTGTTGCATTGCATGGCATAGCTTCCTTTTCGGGCAGCTATAGTTAACTTAGTGTGTAATAAGCGTCTGTTACCGGAGTACTAAGGTTTTCCTGACCAACGGGCTGTTATTTTGACGAGGAACGCCCGTTCCCTTTTACTCCGGGCTGCTATTGGGTCCAACCTCGGACCAGAAAAATGTATTTCTGCTGCGATTGCATTTTGGTATGCACCCTTACGGAAGGCATCCTGTCGCTGTCCGGAATGCGATGTTTTGACAAGTTTACAGCTTCATCCACTGCGTCTAACTAGTCTCCGAGGACAAAACAGGCGTAGCATAGTTAAGAACCGGCGGCCCCAGGTTCTGTATTTTTTCAATGGTTCGTGGCGAAGGAAAAGAGGCTGTTAAAGGCAATCTCTAAAATTTTCGGGTTGTTCACCGTCAGGATGGGTGAATGTCGTCCAGGTGATGAAGACGATCGCCGTTAATTTCTTCGGGGAGAGCGTCAGGCTTCGTATAGTGAAAAAGAGAGAGAGTTCAGAGAGGTAGCTGTTTATTTTCGAGCAGACGTCATCAATTTTATTTCCGGACGCCAATATTTACGAGTCAGCGTATGATATCAGGGAAATGGGGAATGATGAGAGGGGCCATTGACAAATTGTGGACCTTAGTGAGATATGCTACTCCCGTCGGCCTATCGCCTTCCCTGGTGCTCTATATTTGGGCAGTTTGTGCAGTCTTGTGATCACTTGACGCTTGGCCTTATGCAGTGTGAATCGCCGGCTAAAATAGGTCGCGATTTTTCTTCGGACACTTACTCACACCAAAGATGAAATTGACAGGTCTTAAAATGCTTCAACTTTTTCCGCTTATGTTGGTTTACCAATTATCCACTTTAAGACCCCTTAAGCGGGGATCCCCAGGTTCGACCTGACGTAGGAGGTCACGCTTATTTGCGAGAACAGCCGCTTCTGAAGGAAAGTTTCCGCGATGCGTCCGGATGGAATGAAGCGAGCCGCTGCGACAGTAACTAGTTTGGCGTTCGCCAGCATATACGTTTGTGGGTGTGGGAAGAGCGGCGACACTGACTCTCAGTAACTTCCGCGAAGCCGTGCCAATCAGCTTTGTTTAAGTGGATATAGGTTTGGTGGCCCGCGGGAGCAAAGTCGGCTTGTTGATCGAGATGACTACGCATAGGTGATCTGATGCGAGTCGCCGTTATGCGTTGTTGTTGTTGTTGTAGTGGCTACAACAACCCCGCCCAGATCGGTTGATATCTCAGTCGTTGTCGTCAAGTTCCACTAACGGCAGCCTAAGAAGCGTGCAGCCTCCATTGGGTCGGTGCACAGGGATAAAGCCGTTAGGGTTGTCGGGTTTTCCGGGCATGCGAAGAGATGTTTCGAGTCGTGACACACATTTACCACATCCGCGTTTAGTCTGCTCAGGTATGAGGTTAACGTGCTGCAGTAGCCAGAGCGAAGTTGGGCTATTGTGGTTCTTGTCTCCCGAGGCAGAAGAAGCTCCGTCTCCTAAATGTCCGGTGGTTGTGTGCCTAGAACGGCATTCACAGGTCTGAAATCTACATAACTCGAGACTGACTCCCTGTGAATGCCGTTCAGGGCTGCTTAATGAACCTCTGGACTTCGTCCGTCAGTTCGTAGAGATGCCTGCTGACGTGCCTAGGCGAGGGCTCCTCTGCAAGCAGATTAGTTTAATATGACTGCATCACTAACTAAATTATCGGAAAAGTTGTAGTCAATGATCTCACAAACTGAAGGAGATATATAAAAACTGATAACACCAATCGAAAGACTTTATTTCAAATATATAACTGCATCTAGAACTAAAAATCGTCCAAATGGCGCTTACGACAATCTTTTGCCCAGGCGAACGATTTGTGTCTGTTAACCACAGTATAGACAGTAACCAACCTTTTTGGGTTGTTGTTGTAGTAGTCGTTGTTGTTTGAAGAAACAAAAAATAATTAACTCCAAATAGTTTCAAAAAGTATAGTGTAAAACTAAATTATTGAATAATTCCACATAAAATGGTATACATAACTGACTAAACGATTTAAATAAAACGCATTTCATAACCTTTTTTGTGCAAACGGCATTTGCGAATTGATAGAAAAGTACTACGGATTGTAAATTTTTGTTAACTATGAGGTGAATGAAAATTTTCAACCTGGCCTGACGGTTTTGAAGAGTTTTTTGTTCTAATTTTATTACTAAGGCGTCTAATAATTGCATGGCTTTTAGTTCTAGAAGAATAAAAGTCAGTAAAGACAAGTCTTTTTTGTATAACTTCTGATTTTAATTGCTCAACTTATTTTGCACCAGAGAAACTGTCAAAAATTTCCAGCAGTATAACGTTACAAATGTGGCACAGCAGAAATGTAAAATTTTCTCGCCGTAATAAAAAAGTTTTTTCAACATGGAACTTTTCTACTAATTGACATGTAATTACAATCTCAACGCTCGGAGCGCTGCCACTGAGGGCTTTTGCCAACTGATAAAAAAGAGAAAATTTGGAAATACCAAACAAAAATTTTGTGATTTCTCCTTCTCCTTGTGAATACGAATGCCTATTTTACAGTTTTTACATAGCTCGTGGGACTACGCAAAATTTTGACAGCTTGTAAATATGTATACACATAAAGTTGTTGGCGGTAATAAAGAGTCAAAATCAAAATGGAGAAAAGAACAAAAAGCGTACGTTAGTTGTCAGTTATAAAATAAATCCAATTTATTTGCGAATATTTGTTTATTCTATTTATTGAAAGGCAACCACGCGGAAAAGCTTGTGTTAATTATATTGATAACAGAACCTGGCAGCTCGCACGTTGTCTAAATTCTCAAGTAACATAAAATCCACAAAAGAATACTTGCTTGTATTACCATCAATACGCCCATGTATAAATTTTAACAACACACAAAAATAGAGCTTTCGCACGAGCGTTTGTTTGGTTTTTCAACACCATTCATAATTTCTTTTAATAGGTTCGTTCGCGTAGCTGTTAATTGTTCAAGTTTAACCAAAACTTACAGGTTTTTGCGTTCGCGTACGCAAAAAACTTGCAAAGTAGGGGAAATTGAGAGAGCAAAGTGACATTTCATTTTGAGGGGAAGCTGTTAGTTTCTGTTGGAAAAATTTTTGCCAACAGCAATTTGCCAACAGGAAAACAGCTGATCAAAAACAGCTGGTTGGCATTTACGCAAATCACAAAATTGAATTTGATGGTTTGGAAGTTAAAAATTACAAAATGCGACTAATTAAACTTGTAAGAAATAAGTAGTTATTTGTTTAATCAATAAACTGTGTCAGTATAACACTTTGCGACGACTTTTCGTACGTTTTAAATTTTACACTTTTGAATGTAAACAAAAATTATATCAGCTGTTCGTCTAACTTGCAAGTTTCTGCAAACTTTCTGTTCGCGTACTATTTTGGATATTTCTCTCTTGTGAGCGAACAGATGACATTTCGCCGGAATTTGGCAGTTGGTTGGTTTCTGTTGGAGATTTTAAACGAACGCACCTAATAAAATCACGATTTGTCAAATTCTTAAATTTATTTATTAATAATAATGCAGCACATAACCCTGAAATCTAAGAAAAAGTCTGAGGAAGGCCATTAAATAGCAGCACATAACCCCGTGCCTTCCTCAGGAGTGAATATAACTACAACAACAACGACTACTACAACAACAACCCAAAAAGGTTGGTTACTGTCTATACTGTGGNTGCCTTCCTCAGGAGTGAATATAACTACAACAACAACGACTACTACAACAACAACCCAAAAAGGTGGTTACTGTCTATACTGTGCATAAAACTTCCCCCATGTACGTTGACAACATTGAGGCAACAAAATAAAAAACAACATGATAAAAAGCAACAACGTCAACAGAATTCACTTTTGCAGCAGTTTTTCATTTTCCGTTTGCATTCCATTTATGAGACATCACATATCTTAACTTAGGATTTTGTGTATATACCACAAAGTATTCTCCACATCTGATTTGTTAAGAAAATTTAAGAAATGCATTTAAACTGAAGCAAAGTGCACTATATTGTGATCGGAAACACGAAATGGTCACGACACGTTGAGCAGGATAGTGTTGGACGACCCACCAGCAGCCCCACGATGACCTACTGTGCACATTATGGCGATTTAGTAAATCTGAATGTTGGTGGACAGCGGTAAGTCTATTGCAAGGAAAGGAAATATCGCTGGCGAAGCCATAAATGTACATGCTTACATATATGCACATCGCTAAATACAAATGTTCATATATATTTTTTTGTATTGCCAATAGAGGCTTTCCTTTTCCAACTACACGATTACCATTTATTTTTTATACTCTAAAAATTTTATTACAGTTTTTCCACTTCCCGTCAGACGCTGACGTGGATCCCTGATACCTTTTTCACGGCATTATTAAGTGGACGCATTTCCAGTTTACGCGATGAAACTGGCGCTATATTCATTGATCGCGATCCGGCCTTGTTCTCGATCATTCTCAACTATTTACGCACTAAAGATATCGACATTAAAAACTGTGAAATACGGGCTTTGCGTCACGAATCTGAATACTATGGCCTTACTCCGCTTGTTAAGCGTCTAGCACTTTGCGAGGACCTAAACCATTCATCATGCGGTGATGTGCTATTTTATGGCTATTTGCCTGCACCGTTGATGCCGTCTAATGAGGCAATTCATGCTGCTGTTATGTCCACAGGATCTGTAGCAACCGAAGATCGCCCAGTTTTTGGCTCAGATCTGCCATCTTACAGAACATCAAATAGTAGTGGAATAAATGTTGGAAATACAAACAATTTATACAACCCACAGGCACCAACAGTACCGTTGGAATCTTGCTTACCTTCAACATCATCAGGTTTAGTATCAAATTCAACGGTAAACGCGCGCCCTGGTTCAATGGTTCGCGTACCCGAAACGGCATCTGTATCTAGCCGACACTCATCACATTCTCGAAACTCTTCATGGGATTTGCGTTGCGGGCGTACGAACGGTAATGTTAGTGGAGAAGTACGCAGTTGGGCTACTGCTGGCCCTTCTTCGACCCATTCACGCACCGCCTCACTAGATTTCATGCGACATTCGCGTAACTCTTCCGCCGACCTCAATAAGCTCATACGCAACGATGTAGGATTGGTATTTAGTCCAACCCTGACTTCAAACTGGGTGGATCCATTGCGGGTTCAAATAATCAAGGCACATCAAAATTGGATTGCAGTGGCTTATGCCCATTTCGTGACTTGCTATAGAGTGAAGGACTCAAGTGGCTGGCAACTGGTATTTACCTCGCCTCACATTGATGCAACCATTGAACGTATGGCGATTAACTCAAAGGTCAACACTTCCACAGCCGAACCCATACCTAGTAAAATGGTGGCTATTTCATATGGTAGCCAAATACGCTTGTGGAGTATACATGAAGGAGGAAATAAAACCGATGTTGGAACATTTAATCTGAATGTACGCGTAGAGTATTTGTTTTTTATCGGCAGCCAGTTGGTGGCGTTGTCCTCATCGGGCAAAATAGGCGTGTGGCATGCCATGACACAGCACTGGCAAATCCAAGATTTGGTGCCCGTACTGTCGTTTGACTCAGCTGGCTCGTTTTTATTGCTGGGATGCAATAATGGGTCTATTTATTATATAGGTAAATTAGATCATTAAAATCGTTTATGAATACATTCTGTTAAATTTGGTATCATTTTAGATATGCAAAAGTTTCCATTACGTATGAAGGATAATGACTTGTTAGTGACTGAGTTATATAAAGACCCGACATTGGATCCCATTACAGCAATTTCTGTTTATCTCACCCCAAAAACTTCAAGTGAGCTTTTCCAAGATCCTCTAAAATATAAAATATGTAAATAACTACGGTTTTAGGTATAAGTGGAAACTGGATAGAGATTGCGTACGGTACGAAATCGGGAGCGGTGCGTATTATTGTGCAACATCCGGAGACAGCCGGCCACGGACCGCATTTATTTGAAACATTTACTGTACACCAAAGCCCAGTAACTAAGGTATGACTCTTAAGATGCATTCTGAAAATATTTTTATTATGTACGTAATGTTTTACAGGTTACGCTCTCAGAAAAATATTTGGTTTCTGTGTGCAGTGAGTATCACCATGTACGCACCTGGTCATTGACACGTTTTCGCGGAATGCTCTCCACACAACCAGGCTCTACACCCGAGGCATCATTTAAGATTGTGGCACTCGAAGCCACTGATTCACATTACAGTTACGCGGCTGGTAATGATTTTGGCCCATATGGCGATTATGATGAACAGATTTTCGTACAAAAAGTAGTGCCGGAAACAGATCAGCTTTACGTGCGCTTAGCTTCGAATGGCGATCGCGTCTGTATTATAAAATCAGTAGATAGCTCAACTATCACTTCGTTCTGCGTACACGAGTGCGAGGTGTCTTCACGTATGGGCTCACGTTTCATATTGACTGGCCATTGTAATGGTGCCATTCAAATGTGGGATCTCACAACGGCATTGGCGTTGCTTTCGAAAGATGAACCCCAGCAGAAAACCTCAGGCGGACCCGACACACATGAGCTTCTCCGCCTACTGGATCAATGTGAAATCAGCAATAGTCTCAGCTCAACGCCTTGTATGTCACCATGTCTATCAGTGGTTGGAGGGATGGCAAATGCCACAATAGCGCGCATGAAAGCCAGTAATGTGGCACTGCTAAATCAGTTACACAATCAGCACCAGCCAGTGCCACTGCAGCACCAACCGCAAGCACAAGGGCAACAATCTGTTGTTAACGCAGCAGCGCAGTTTTTGCAGCAACAACAGCAGCTGCCACAACCACAGCAACAACATCCTCAACAGCAACAGGGAGCGCCGGGCAACGGTGGTAATGGGGAATGAAATGCGGAAGCGGCGTGTGCAGCAGCAGCAGTTGCTGTTGCTGCTGAGGCGGCGTTGGTCGGGCGTATTTCATCGTTTCTCACATTTAGCATAGCATTAGAGTACATTGCCAAGCTGTTGCAAATAATGTTCTGCTCGATTATATATATTTGCATATTACGTTATACGGCATCAGCAGCTGTGCGGCGACCTTAAGAGTGTCCTCGTGGCTAGCAAAAGTTACTCTTAATCTCCTTTTTGTCTAGATGTTGTCTATGTACTGTTTTTATGCTACACATATTTGTATAAGTGATTTTAAATGCGATTCGCGGCAAATTATTCGTACAATACGTATGTATTACTTTTACAGATACTGATGAATTATACTACACACCTACATATACGATTTATTACACACTTGTTTTCCCGAAATATATCGAAATATACACGAAAGAAAATGTTTATTGCAATTGATACTAATTTTATGCATTTGTTATTTGCTTACGTACGTAGTACATATGTANTACTTGTTTTCCCGAAATATATCGAAATATACACGAAAGAAAATGTTTATTGCAATTAATACTAATTTTATGCATTTGTTATTTGCTTACGTACGTAGTACATATGTATGTATGTATGGACGACCGACAACTGAAACCATCACATCCTTTTGGGCGAAAAAATTTCCAAGTAAACTTGACGTAATAAGGATCGAGTTCCATCGTGATGAATTCTGCGGTATCTTGATAAAACAGCTTGGGTGCGTTCAGAAATGCATCAAGCCAAAGCATCGGTCTCTGTTATTTCTAAACTATAACTGTTGGAAATGTCAGATATGCGCAACCACCTTTAAAAGCTGAATTTGGACGTAATTGCGTAAATATGACATTTCCATCAATAATAGTTTAGAAATAAAAGATACTGATGCTTTGGCTTGATGCATTTCTGAACGCACCCCTTATCTCGAGTTAGACCATTTTTTCTATAAAGCATTGTGTTCCTAAAAAATATTTACGAATAGTAACCAAAGATCTGTTACTTCGACGATGGTGTAAGCCAATTTTAGTGAATCGTCCGACCCGACGAAGTACAATGACCGGATATACATCAGATTTAGGGACTTATTTCGTCGGTGAACGATTATTTTAGCCACAAATCCTACTGCGCCCTTCGGCAGACAAAGCCAAACGACGCGTTGCTCGATTGAAAACTACCAATGTGCCATTTACTTACGTACTTTCACCCACGATAAAGTTCGGGTGGTCATCGGGAACGATGAAGCCTTCAAGGTCATCGAGAGCAAACTACCTCACCGAGGTCATCAATCAGTCGTTCAGAAAGCTCGGATAGATACCCGTTTACTTTCGAACACAAGTCATCAATCGAGACTCCCTCTGGTGGTTGAGGAAGCTTTTAAAGGAAAAGTTAAACAGTAGTGGGGAAAGGTCACCACCCTGTGGAACCCCCTGTTTTATTAACATTACCGACGAGTGTCGACCACTCAGATAATTCGCCGATCACCATTTGAGCCTCTGTGGGAGAGAGGAGGCCTCTATGTCTTCTAGAGCGTGGAGTAGCTGACGGTGTCAAACGCCTTTGACAGGTTCAACGCTACTATAATAGTTCTCTCACAGTGTACGGTTGCGGTTAAGGGCACGTGTTATCTGCGTGTTTATGGCGTTAAGTGCTGTTGTTGAACTGTGCACTTTACGGAAACTATGCTGATGCTTCGCTGGGGTCAGGTGGTTCGTAAAATACGGGAGCAGCAAGGCCTCTAGTGTCTTCGCTACCGGGGAAAGGAGTGTAATCGGGCGATAAGATTGTNTTTTATGGCGTTAAGTGCTGTTGTTGAACTGTGCACTTTACGGAAACTATGCTAATGCTTCGCTGGGGTCAGGTGGTTCGTAAAATACGGGAGCAGCAAGGCCTCTAGTGTCTTCGCTACCGGGGAAAGGAGTGTAATCGGGCGATAAGATTGTCCTTTGTTGGCTGGTTTTCCCGGTTTGAGCAGTGGGACAACCCTCACCATCTTCCAGATGCCTGGGACGAGGAGAGTGGCCATTGACATATTGAGGTCCTCCGTTAGGTACGCTACTTTCGCAGGACCCAAATTTTTCAGCATCAATATGCACATTCCGTCGGGATCCATGGCGTTGTAGGCTTTCGCCTTCCCGATGGCCACCTGGGGGGGCTACTCTGTAATGCGATGCGAAAGAGAAATGCGATGCGATAGGCAAATACGTCGTAAGCAATACGCATGGCATTACAGAGTAGCCCCCCTCAACTTCACCGCTAGTGAAAGCAAGGGAGGCCCAAGTTGTGCACACTTTTTCCGCCTATGCACGTTCACGAGCTACCGAATCTCCGCGTTAAGACCCCTGATACGCGGATTTCCGGGATCGGCCTGACGAAGGTTGTCACGTTCATCGGCTAGAACAGTCTCTTCAGCTGGGAAGTTTGGATGGGGGTTCGTAATGCATCCTGGCGGTACGAAGCCAGCTGCAGCAGCAGTGACAACCCTGCGGAACTTACGTTCACCAAGGTGGACGTCGGTTGCTGTGGGGAGCGCAGCGAACGTGCTCTCAGTAAATTTCGCGAAGCTTTTCCAATTAGCTTTAGAAAAGTTGATATAGGTCCGGTGTTCCGCGGAAGCAAAGTCGGTTGGTTTATCGATCGAGATGACTATGGGTAGATGGTCTGATGCCAAAGTCAGCATAGGTCGCTATGATACGCTCTTTATCAGACCAGCGCTGACTATTGTTAAGTCTGGCGAGCTGCAGCGGCTGCCCATAATCCTGGTGGGTGCGTCGTCGTTTATTGTGCAGATGTGGAATCGTCTATCTGCTCAACCAAGATTGTTCCCCAACGATCGTTTGTAAGGCTTGAATGCCAAAGATCATGGTGCACATTAAAATCACCTAATACCATACGGTTTTCACCTCTGAGGAGCGCATCTATATTAGGGTGATATCCTGCCGGGCATCAAGTGACAGGAGGTATATAAACGTTAAATATTTCGAGCTTAACATCGCCTGACCGGATAGCGATGCCCTGATATTCTAGGGTGGTATCCCTGCGGTCGATGCTTGTTTCAATAAGACGATTCTGCACGGTGTGGTGCGTGATGAACGCTAAGCCACCACCATTATCTCGCTCGCGATCTCGACGGTGCACGTTGTATACGGCACAATTCAACTAAGTTGAATTGCTATGCGACTTCGTCTCTTAGACCGCAATTATCAATATACCATGCCTTCCCATGAAGACGGTTACCTCTTCGATCTTGCTCTAAAGTCCGTTGCAGTTAATTTGAAGGAGCTTCATGTGGTTCGGGAGACGTGTTGTTATGCGGCGTGTGAGGGATGTGTGTAGCCTTGCCGCAATTGGCTGTGTGCGCTGCTGTGGAGGTTTCCGCCCTGTGGTGGCGGGTCAATTTGGGTATGCGACCGAGCAGCGCAACACAGGCCCTCAAAGTTCCTCGTCCAATCTCGCGTTGTGCGCAGACCTGAACAAGCCCCAAAGTGGCACCAGCCAATGCAGGTGTTGCATTGGACTAATGTCACATTACGGAATATCCTGGTCTGACATACTGTGCAGATTGTAGGAGGAACCAGGAGTTATTGAAGGCGGCATGTGGGTGGTGGTGCGGTTGTGACTGTTNTCGTCCAATCTCGCGTGGTGCGCAGACCTGAACAAGCCCCAAAGTGGCACCAGCCAATGCAGGTGTTGCATTGGACTAATGTCACATTACGGAATATCCTGGTCTGACATACTGTGCAGATTGTAGGAGGAACCAGGAGTTATTGAAGGCGGCATGTGGGTGGTGGTGCGGTTGTGACTGTTGTGTGGTCTGTCGTGGTTGCGGTGTGGTCTATTGTGTTGTTGTGTTATAGTGTTTGTGTTGAGCTGCTCAGGTGGACTGGGGTTAGCCGTGAAGGCTGCTCTGTTTGATCAGCAGTGGGCCACAAATGATGTGGTCCACTGTCGATAGGTCCGTAGTCATGAGCAGACTCTGAATTGACTCCACCCGTCGCAAGCATTGCACTTGACTGAGGTGGAGTTGTGGTGTAGTCGTCTCTAGAATACACAGCAGGTGTAGGTTTCTGGCCCTGAGTTTGACTCGATGAGCGGAAGAATACGTAGCAAATGTAGCCCTATGGACGAACAAATTCTGAGAAACTTCGGCGACCTAAACGGGTTAGATCGCCGAAACAACAGCCCTTGGTCCGGTAAAAACCGGGTCATTCCGGTACGAAGAACCGGCTCAGGTGTCGACATCATCAGTATCAACCCCAACGGTNTGCATTGGACTAATGTCACATTACGGAATATCCTGGTCTGACATACTGTGCAGATTGTAGGAGGAACCAGGAGTTATTGAAGGCGGCATGTGGGTGGTGGTGCGGTTGTGACTGTTGTGTGGTCTGTCGTGGTTGCGGTGTGGTCTATTGTGTTGTTGTGTTATAGTGTTTGTGTTGAGCTGCTCAGGTGGACTGGGGTTAGCCGTGAAGGCTGCTCTGTTTGATCAGCAGTGGGCCACAAATGATGTGGTCCACTGTCGATAGGTCCGTAGTCATGAGCAGACTCTGAATTGACTCCACCCGTCGCAAGCATTGCACTTGACTGAGGTGGAGTTGTGGTGTAGTCGTCTCTAGAATACACAGCAGGTGTAGGTTTCTGGCCCTGAGTTTGACTCGATGAGCGGAAGAATACGTAGCAAATGTAGCCCTATGGACGAACAAATTCTGAGAAACTTCGGCGACCTAAACGGGTACATCGCCGAAACAACAGCCCTTGGTCCGGTAAAAACCGAGTCATTCCGGTACGAAGAACCGGCTCAGGTGTCGACATCATCAGTATCAACCCCAACGGTCCAATATCTAATCGTTCGATCGACACTCGGGTCTGCGGTAGCGGAGTGACCCATATGTATTTCTGTCATTTCAGCTGATTCCCGAAACTGCTGGGTGAGTGTTTGGGTGTGTTGAGCTACGTAATATTTACAGCACAGCCTTGTTGCTTTCTTGATGATATGTTGCTGATGCTAAGAAATGCTGCATAAATTGCGCAATGAAAATTTTGATGTTGCTTTTGATTAGCCAGTGATTGTCAAAATTTAGTTCCTTCAATATGGGCTTATCCAAAGTAGTTTTCTTTATAAAACATAATTATAAATAATTTATTTTCCATTGAACTAAGCACCCAAGTGTTTGCTTAAATACATACTTTACGTATTAATATGTAAACAATTACATGCTAATAATCTGTTAAAAACGTAAAAACAATGAAATNATTGAAGGCGGCATGTGGGTGGTGGTGCGGTTGTGACTGTTGTGTGGTCTGTCGTGGTTGCGGTGTGGTCTATTGTGTTGTTGTGTTATAGTGTTTGTGTTGAGCTGCTCAGGTGGACTGGGGTTAGCCGTGAAGGCTGCTCTGTTTGATCAGCAGTGGGCCACAAA